AAATATTCAATAAAGCACAAATAGACATTCCTCTGGTGTTCTTTACTTTCATCCAGGATCCATCTGACATCAGTAATGATATCCCTGATGCCACAGAATCTTCTAAATCCCACTTGAGCTTCTGGGAAATTCTGTCAATACACGGCTTTAGTTTTTTAATGATCTTCAGAAATATTTTGCTTTCATGTGATACTAGTGATATCATTGAGTCACTTTTCTTGGAAATGAGAACAAATATGGATCACTTCCAGCCAGTCACTCAGGCAGCTGTCCTCCAAATTTCCAAGAATAGTTTAGTGAACAAGTCCAGGACTGAGTCTGTTAGTTGAAACACATCAACTGGTATCCTATTAATTCCTGGGGCCTTATTTTTTGCCAGTGCCTTCAGTGCTGCCTGAACTTTTTGATATGGTATATCCTGAAATATTTCAGTGTTGGCCAATTCTATTTGATACAGTGATTCTATGTATTCCCTTCATCTTCTTTTTCTTTTTCAGTTCTTCAGCTTGAGAAATGCTGAGTGAGTCTTCCCTTTTTCTTTTCCAATTTCAGCTCTCTGTACATTCTGTAATAATGGATTCACTTTGTCTTCTGGAGTTCCCCATTAAAATATTCTGTTCAGCTTTTTTACTTCAACATCTCTTTCCTTTTTTTTTGGCTTCTCAACATGCTAGTAAAATTTTCATGGTCTTTTCTGACATCCATTTTGGTTTGTTCTTCTGTCTTTGTAATGAATTTTTGCTTTCTTCATGGATGATAGCCTTGATGTCTTTCCACAACTCATCTAGTCTTCAGTCATTAGTGTTCAGTGCTTCAAACCTGGTGGATAGTTTGGTATAAATTCGAAAATGATCGGCATCTAGATGCTAGTTAGCCATGAGACTAGGTAATATTACCAGTAGGTAAGTGTAAATAGAAAAAAGGAGGTAAATCAAGGGATAGGCACTGGGCACTCTGTTATTAAAAGCTAGGGATAGGGAAAGAAATTAAGAACCAACAAAGGGCCCTACAGGAAACTAAGAGGACATGAAGGGTAAAGTGTTGTCCCAATGTCTTGTGAAGGAAGTTTCTCAAGTAAGAGGAAGTAAAAAATTGTGTCAAATGCCACTAATGAAGCAAGTTAAAATTAAGACTAAGAATGAACCATTGACTTTAGCTCTTTTAGGGAGATCATGTGTGTTTATGATAGAACAGTTTGGGTGGGACCGTTGTAAAAAGAGTCATATTTTGTAAAAAAGTCACATGGGGATGGCCATATCTGTCCTTCACCAACTTCAGAAAGGGGACTGTCCCTAATCACTGTATCAATAACACAAAATCAGTTTATGACTATAAACACGTCCCCCACACTTCTACTCCTCTTTCTACTCATCTCAACGTGAATCTTACTGCTTTGCTGGGTCCAAAATCCAATGTGATAGCTCACAGACCATACAGCACCATATTGGGAAGTCAAAAGATTATTATCTAGATTCATAGCAGAATCCAGTCTAGATAGCTCCTGAAACCTCTCCTCACTGCAGTTCAGAAGCAATCAAACTCCAGGACTTGAGCCTCATAACGCCACCACCTAATTCATCAAATTGATAATAGCCCTTAATAACCCAGACTGTGGGACAATTCCTGTTAACTAGATTTTTATATCAAGCAATTCCATCTGAGTCCTCTTCAACATAAGACCCCTCCCCTAGCTTCATCCCATTTCAGCAAGAAGTCATTTTTAGAAGATCTTTGCCCCTTTCCTTCTTTAAGTTGGGGATATAAGGTTGGATCCAAAGTGGTTCCATTTTGCTGACCTTCTGATCCTATATCCCTGTGTTCCAGGAAATAATATGTAATCTGATTAATGTTTACCTCTAAACATGGTTTTATGACCCATTTGAGGAGATAAAAGAGGGAATGATGAAATAATGGAAAATTACCCCAGGCCCTTCAAACTGTTATGACTACCCCTAACTGGTCAATGTAGAATGGATAAATATCCTATTCTGTTCCATGCTTATAGCAACTGAGCCTCAGTCTACTTTCACTAAAAGACACATTTTAAATAAAGCCTATTTGCTATATATAAAAAAGCCAAACCAAACCAACCAAACAATAAAAACCCTGCCAAAATGTATACACAGACACCTCAGTCTCAAACCTTGACGTTTTAGGCCAATTTTCCCAGGTTCTCAGTCCTGTCATTATTGGCTCTGTCCCACTCAGGGTCCCATCTCACATAAGGTCTCCAGTTAGGCCATAGGTGTTTTTGCCATTAGTGTAGCTGGAGCAAGAAGGGAGTCCTACATTCTCTTGCTTCTTATTCAATGATGGTGCCAAAAGATCTGTCTGCCTCCTGCTGCTGACTTGCTCAAGTCAGTGGTGAGACTGGCCAAACCTCTTGTGGAATGGTAGATAACCTATCCCTTTGTGTGTAGACTAACATGCCCCATTCACATATTCCCACCCATCTACATAACAAAGTCAAACAATGACTGGAAAAGGTCATACTGAAAGATAACTTCCACAGGGGTGGAGGTGAAACCCTGATAAGTGGGTTTAAAAAAGAATTTGACAGAAATTGCAGATGGTAAGCTTAGATATAAGCTTTTCAAGAGTTTGCTACAAAAAGGGAGGAAAGAAAGGAGGTGATAATTCAAAAAGGAAGTCAAGTCAAGTGAAAGATTTTTCTAAGATGGGGGAAATGTTGATGTGGCATGTTGTGTGAATGATGCAAGAAAGACGAGATAGTGATGATATAGGGGGAAAGAAGTATTTCTAGGGCAATAACCTAAAGAAGGCTTGAGGAGCTACCCTCTCATTTGTTTTAGAATGAAAGTGCTATTCTATCATAGGGATTTGCTATATTTTAAGTAACTAGACCCTAAAACATTTGTGCTGCTTCTTGTCTTTCACTGCTATAAACAAAGGTTTTTAGTAACTTTAAATAGAACTCACAGGGAACTCTGGTGGCTTAGTGGCAAGAAGTTGCACTGTCTATCGAATGGCATGCTATTCAGATCTCTACACATACTGTTACACTCACTGAAGGGTCAAATATGAGTCAATTCTGACTCAAAAGTAAATAACAATAATATATAAATGAGCACTGTCGCTGCTTCCTCTAGCATTCAACCTTTCTGTGTGGCTGGGGTTTTCTACCTTTTTTTTCCTATTAACTACATACAGGTATCTTTTATATATCACAAAAAGAGATGATTTAACAGGATGAGGAAATTATCAAGCAATATCATTAATATCACATGCAAATGAAGTTTATTCAAAGATACCTGGAAGAATACATTGAGGGGGAACTCACAGCAATTCCAGCTGTATTCAGAAGAGACCATGGAACAAAGGATTTCATTTCCGATGTCAGATAGCTCGTGGCAGAAAGCAGAAAATACCTGACGTATGTTTAGTGACTTTTTTTTAATTATGCAAAGACATTTGACTGTATGGATCATAACAAATCATGGCTAGCATTGAGAAGAATGAGAAGCCCAGAACATTAGATTGTGCTCATGAGAAACCCACACATACATACCAAGAAGCAGTTGTATAAACAGAACAAAGGAACATGTCATGGCTTAAATCAGGGACAATATGCATTAGCGTTTTATCCTTTCTCCATATTTACTCAGTCTGTATGCTGAGAAATCTGTATGACTTCACAAAAAAACATTTGAGAAGCTGGGTTTTATGAAGAAGAATGTGGCATCAAGAATGTAAGAAGACTCATCAACAACTTGGACTAAGCAGATGACAAAGCCTTGCTGCAGAAGATCAGAGACCGCGGCGTTCAATATGGATTACATCTCAACATCAAGAAAACAAAACTCTTCACCACTGTACCAATAGGAAATATCATGATAGATTGAAAAAAGATTAAAGTCATCAACAATTTCCTTTTACTTGAATCCACCAATCAGTACCCATGGTAACAGCCATCAAAAAATAAAAAGAAAGGGGAAAAAAATCCAGACTTACAAAAAAAATTTTTTTAAATTTTAAAAACGCCAACTTTAAAAAAGTTCATTTGCATATATCTTATCACAGAAAGTATCAGTTTTTAAATTAATACCTCTAACTCTTCTGGTAATAAATGTTATAAAATGTGCATCGATCATTCAATGAAATTGCAATTATAATGTATTTTTTAAAAATGTATATGAATGAAACTCCATGTGATTTGAAAACTCTCACTCAAATAAATAAGATAAATAAAAAGACGTATTACACAGCCCCTCATTGTCCCAGAGTAGAAAGCAGATAAAAAGCCCTAGCCCAGCTCCATGGTACCTCTAGAGCCCCACCAGCAGCAAGAGTCTCATTTATTCACTGTTGACTCACAAACTCACAGGTGTGGTACTTAGATAGGTGTTTATTAGGGAAGTCATAAATAATAATAATATAAAAATAGTGGAGAAGGCAAAGAATAACACCCAATATCACTCCAGGTTTTAGGCCAAGTTACAAGACATAATTCCACAATGAATCTAGGCTCTGGTTTCAATTCAACAGTCAAATCTAAATCATCCAGCAAGGTTTGCCTCAGAGCAATTAAAAATCAGCTTCTCCATCAAGCATCCTGCTAACACAACAAAAACATTTAACTGTGGCCTTTATCTCAGGGCTCCTCTGCTTACACCTTGCCACAATTTCTCCAAAGCAATGTCACAGTCTCTCCACCTCGAGGATCTCTCTCTCACCAGGGTCTTACTCCACTGTCCTTCAAGCCTTGCTCACCACAAATCTTACTAACCTCAAGTCTTGCTGCCCAGTATGGGAAGCACTCTTTCTCTTATCCTAGTTTTACATTTGTTGATTTTCAAGACAATGTGTCTGTAGTTAAGGTAGCTGGAGAGTAGAAGAGTAGTAAGTAGAAAGTAGTAAGTAGAAGAGGCTAGTAATGGCTAATAAAAGTCAACTTTTGGGCTAACACTGCAAGTTTCCATTTCATAGTCATTCAATGTTTCATGATACTAATAAATATTTTGGTATGTTTTCCTCCCTAGAACTTTGGAAACACCAAGTCATGAAAGAAAGTTTTTCAGTCATAAGACCCCAAGTAGTTGAAAATTTTATACAGAGATTAATGGAAAATTACCATGATGATGAGTTAGAGGTAGGTATTGAAAATTAGTCATTCTTATATCTTTAAAAATAAATGCAAACAAAGTAGACATTTTCATTCCTCATGGATTAATGTTTCCCTTCTCCCTTTGAATGATAATACAATTATTGAATGGAATCCACCATGCTAGCCAGTGTTAACTGTTTTCTTTTTTGGACCAAGACTGATTCCTAATTAATATGTAAATAATTGGAATATTAATATTGGCTCATTTCACATTTTTAAACCTTGGAGTATGTTTATGAATTGATTTTTGGCAACATTTTCAGTTACTAATTCTTACTATACAAAGTGCTAAAGAAGAAAACTAAAATATCCTGTAATACCCCTGCCTAGAAATGCAACCCCTAGAAAATATTTCTGAAACATAGAATATGAAAAAAAAAAATTTAACATCACAGAAAGATAACATTTCTTTCCTACCTCTACTTCACCTTTCTAGTTTCCTCCCCACAAAGCAAGTCAATATTAACAATTTTCTGTCTAGTCTCCTTTTTGAAAAATACTGAATCCTTAATATAACAATATGCTATATATTTTTAAAATATAAACATAAAAATGTATTTAATGTATTGCTGTTGTTGTTAGATACCACAAAAGGAGATTTCCCACCTTCCTCTCATGGAGCAGCTGGTAGATTCAAGCCATGTGCCTTTGTAATAATGCCTTACCACTAAACTACCAGAGCTCTGTATATTTAATGTAGCCCGTGTAAATACACACAATCTCTAATACCCTGAAGCAGGATTATTCTTGGCCAGAAGGGCCTTGCTAAATTAAATCAAAGGAATCCACTGAAAAGGCCAGAAAAGAGCATGAATATGTATATTGGCTTTAACAGAGTTTTTAGAGTTAATACTATATTAAGTATAAGTGCAATAAACAGGTAGGAATTCAAACTAAGTTTTTAAATTTAACTATCTTTTTTTAAAAAGACTTATTGACTTAAAAATGTGTTCCGTTTTTAAAACAAAGTTTCCCCAAATTTACCTCAAAGCTTCTCAAATATTCTACATGATGTTAAAATTGGCACTTCAATTCTTAACTATGAGGCAGAGAATTCACAGGCTTGGTCAGAAATAAATGCTTCCTCAGGGCACTGTGATTTGCAGAGATTTCTTTTAAGCTTAAAATTACTCACAGGTATGGCACTGTATACTCTGTTGAGGGGGTGAAGCGATTCTACTCCAGAGTCTGCTTCTCTTGGTTTTTCTAGCTTCGAGGTTCTGGAACAGAGGCACAAAGGATATTAAGGTGGGGTATTCTCAGAAAACTAGTCTTGCTTTCCTTATTACTGGTGCCAAGAGTGTTGCTTTTAGAGCTGAGCAAGCTGTAACTGTCAACAACCTCAATCTCTTCTCCACCCATCATGGTGCTGCCAGTTGGCCCAGTGGTGAGAATCTTTGTCCTCTTGATGTTGAGTTTCAATCCATATTGAAGACTAGTCCTTGACCTTCTGCAGCAAATGCATCAGGCACTCCTCAGTTTCAGCAAACAAGGTTCTGTCATCTACATAACGTAGATTGTTGATGAGTCTTCCTCCAATCCAGATGCTACATTCCTCCTCATAGAGCCCAGCTTCCTAAATGATCTGTTCTGCATATAGATTGAAAAGATATGGAGACAGCATGTGTCCCTGATGAACTCCCTTCCTGATTTTGAACCATGCAGTGTTTCCCTACTCTGTTATGAGAACTGCTTCCTGGTCCAAGTATAGATTTTACAGTATAGATTCCCATTCTTCTCAAGCTTAACCACAATTTGTTGTGATCCACACAGTCAAATGCCTTTACATAGTCAATGAAACACAGGTAGACATTCCTCTGGTACTCTCTACTTTCTGATAAAATCCATCTGACATTGGCAATAATGTCTCTAGTGCCATGACCTTTTCTAAGCCCATCTTGTATTTCTGGTAGTTCTCTGTCAAAGTACTGTTCCAGTCATTTCTGCATAATCCTCAGCAGGATTTTGCTTGTGTGTGATGTGAGTGATACTGTACGATAATATCTAATATTGTGTTACATAAGTGCACTGCCAGGGACCTCTCCAGAGTACTGAGAAGCAACTAGGTTGGTCTAGAGACTAAGATGTGCCTGATCCAGGCCATGGTCTTCACAGTTACTTGCTATGCAACAGAGAGCATGACTAAGGATGATGAAAGAAGAATTGATGCCTTTAGGTTGTGGTGCTGGAGAAGAACTTTGAACATGCCATGAACTGCCAAGAAAACAAATAGGTTCTGTCTTGGTGAGGGTGAAACCAAATTTCTCCTAGGAGGCTAGGATTTTGAAGCTCTATTTCACATATGGTGTACACGTGGCCAGGAGGGACCGAACCTTAAAGGACAGCATGTTCAGAATGGTGAGGGCCAGCACAGGAGAGGAAGACCTCAGATGAGGTGGATCGATACAGTAACTGGGGCAATGGGTGTAGGTGTGTCAGAGACAGACTAGCTCAGGACAGAGCAGTCTTCAGAGCTGTTGTACATAGGGTCGCAATGAGTGGCAGGTAACTCGACAGGCACCTAACATAACAACAACAACAATATTCTCAGAAAAATATTTAAATCAAAGAATTGTGTGATTCAAGGTCTGCTAATTCCCAGTCATAAACTTCACTCCAATATCACATCTTCTGATGGTGAGGATAACGCCTTACAGGGGGAAAAAAATCTGATCATTAGTTAACAGAGCAAATTCTTATTTTCCTGAATGTTTGATGTGAGCTTGCTGAACTCTTGCATTCACAGGGGTTTGGGATGCTTAACCTCTCCTCCCTCAAAGGTTATGCCCAGAGGTCATTTGAACTTTGGGGACTATCTACAGTGACAAGAAGCTCATTGTCTCCCAAAATTCACCTACCAATTGCTGTCAAGTTGATTCTGACTCCTGGTAACCCGACATGTCAAAGTAGAGCTGCGCTCCGTTGGGCTTTCAATGGGTGATTGTTCTAGACTGTGAGGTCTTTCTTCCAAGGTACCTCTCGGTGAACTTGAACCTCTAACTTTTCTGTCCACAGTGCATGTTAACTATTTGTACCATGAGGGAACTCCAGTGAGCTCTTACTGAGCTGAGTCTGGCTTTTAGGCTCTCTCTATCTTGGATCTTAACACTGTCCTAAGAATGTTGTTTGTTGTTGTTATATGCCATCGAGTCGCTTGCGACTCATAGCGACCCTATGTACAACAGCCCTAAACTCTGCTCTGTCCTGTGCCAATCGCACTGTCTCTGACACTCCCATCCCGATTAACCCAGTCACTAAATCAATCCACCTCATAGAGGGCCTTCCCCTCCTGCGCTGTCCCTCCACCCTCCCAAGCATGATGCCCCTCTCCAAGGACTGGTCCCTCCTTACAACATGTTCAAAGTATGTTTGACAGAGCCTCAGAATCCTTGCCTCCAAGGAGCAGCCTGGTTTAACCGTTTCCAGAACGAATCTGTTTGTTTTCCTAGCAGCCCATGGGACTCTCAATACTATTCTCCAGCACCACAGCTCAAAGGCATCAATTCTCCTTCTATCCTCCTTGGTCATTGTTCAACTCTCTGATGCATAACAAGTGATTGTAAAGACCATGGCCTGTATCAGACACACCTTAGTCTCCAGAGAGACACCATTGTTCTTCAGTACTTTGGAGAGGTCCCTAACAGCAAACTTTCCCATGGCAATGCGCCTTTTAGTTTCCTGGCTACTGGTGCCAAGAGTGTTGACTGTGAAGCCAAGCAAACTAAAGCTGTCAACAATCTCAATATCTTCACCATCCACCCTGATGCTGCCAATTGGCCCAGTGGTGAGAATCTTTGTCTTCTTGACACTGAGATCAATCCATATTGGAGACTGCAGTCCTTGACACTCTGCAGCAAGCGCTTCAGGTCCTCCTCAGTTTCAGCAAGCAGGGTTGTGTCATCTGCATAACACAGATTGCTGATAGATAGTCCACCAATCTTGATCCCACATTTCTCCTCATAGAGCCCAGCCTCCCGGATAATCTGTTCTGCATACAGGTTGAAAAGGTATGGAGACAGAACACATCAGTCAGGTACGCCCTTCCCAATTTTGAACCATGCAGTGTTTTCTTGCTCTGTTCTGACGACTGCCTCCTGGTCCAAGTATAAGTTTTGCATTAGAACGATCAAGTGTTCTGGGATTCCCATTCTTCTCAGAGTCAGCCACAGTTTGTTATGATCCACACAGTCAAATGCTTTTGCATAATCAATGAAACACAGATAGACATTCCTCTGGTATTCCCTGCATCCTAAGAAGAGCTAATATCATATGCCGATTGTCTTACAACAAGCCCAAGATGTTTAAGGGCAGTCTAGTTGAGATAGATCAGTTAGAGCCTTTATTGGCATGTGCAAAGCCCCTGTACAGGTTATGAAGGACCTTCTCTAGAATGACAGCTCAGGAGGTATTCCTCCACATAGTGCATTATAAAGCATCACCCCTTTTCTAAACAGGCACAGCTCCTTGCCAAGATGCATTGACTGGCAAATGAAGGCACTGGACTCCCCCCCTCCATCTGCCACACTGCAAAAGCAGACAGTAAAGACCTGAATTCTGTCTTCCCTTCTTCAGACCAAACCATCTCCATTTCCTTCAGTCATGTCCCAAGCACTGTCTTCTAAACTCAGGGTTGTTTAACCAGCTTAGCGCACCTTTACCTTAGATGATCTACTTTGAGTGAGTTACATTTTGGCAGTCGTATAACAGCTAATTCACTAAGGTACCCGTCACAGGAGGGCCAAACGTTAAACCCAGGCATTCTGCTGCTGCCGTATTACCTGTATTTGTTCTGGTTCAGTTTGATCTTCACTCTGAACTCCTTGAGAAATCTGGATTTCTATTTTCCTGTTTATCTTATTATCCTATTTCTATTATATTTCCTCTCTCGGTTCATGTCAGCCTGCCCTTGCTCTCCTTATTTGAGTCATTATTAGTAATGTGTCACAGTCCGGACTCCACGCCCTGTGTTGCCTGCCCCTGTCTCCGTCAGGCTTTGCGTTTGCTCCATCTAAATGTGCTGCCCTCCAGCTTATGTTCTGCACTTGTGCATATGGACATCATGAAAGTGTTCTAAGATGTCCTGCTGAAACCCAGGTACACTGTGTCTCTGCTGTATTAACTGGAGAAAAGAAGCATAATCTGCCTGCCTTTTAAGCCTCTGGAGATCTCGGCTTCCTTTCCAAATGCTAGGAAACTAACTTAAATTCATTGCCATCAAGTTGGAACTCCTAGCTGACCCTCTCTTTCAGGTTTACGAAGGCTGTAAATTTCATGAGAAGAAATTGCCCTTCTGTCTCTCCAGAGCCCCTTCTTCTTCTTGTTATATACCATCAAGTTGGAACTAATTCATAGCTGGCCCTTCAGCAGGTTTTTGGAAGCTTTAAATTATACAGGAGTTTGTTCATCTGTCTCCTCTAGAGCCACTTGTTGTTGTTGTTTTATATCACCACGTTGGAACCGACTCATAGCTGCCCCTTCAGAGGGTTTTCACAGTTAATCACATGGCAGGGGATTGCCCGTCTTTCTCCTGTAGAGCAGCTGCTGGATTAGAACTGCGTGACTTTCTTTGGGTTAGCAGCTCAGTTCCTCACCACTAGGCCATCAGAGCTCCCTCTCAGAGCCGCTGGCGGATTCAATGCTGCAGAGAAGCTCTGGTTGACTAGTGTGCAGACCCTTACACTCCTGACCCAAAGGTAGCGCCTCTCTTGTGGTTCTAATCCACTGTTGACTCTATAGGAGAAAGATGGGAAATCTCCTCTCGTGACATTTACAGCCTAACTAATTACAAACCACTGCAGGTTCAACTATCAGTCCAACTCGACAGCAATGGGTTTGAGTTTTGCATTGTTTGAGAAAACTCTTTCTCATTAGTTCTAACATCTTGCCCATGTTCCATATTCAACACACACACTGGCCTAAACTTAGAAACTAGACTTTCTGCAAATCAGAATTATAATTGTCTATATTATGAGTGCCGGGACCATTTCTTCTCATGTGTCAAGGGTCAAACTTTCATTTGTTCAGTAAACATTTGCAGATATTCTTCTGCCCCACCCCAAAAAACTCTGATAGATATGAAAACAAAAAGTACAGTCTCACTATATATAGAGAGAGTTTATTGAGCCAGCAAGGTCTGGAAAAGCTATTAAGTGCCTAGGAAGAGACATGTATAGGGTGTTATTTGATTTCAGGAGAGGGTGACCCTACCAAGTGGTCAGGGAAGGTGTCCAGAGGAAATATTATTTTGGAATAATATTTAAATAATTTTTTTTATTTTATTATGTGTGTTTGTGTACTGTCAAATCAGATCTGACTGGTACAGGAGGAGATTGTCCCTCCTTTCCCAGCAGATCATCTGGTGGATTCAAACCGTGCACCTCTGGGCGCAGTGCAGCTTCTTGGCACTAGGCCACCAGAGCTCCCCCATAAATAATATTATTTAAAATATTATTTTAAGCACGTGTAAGAACTGACCAGATGAGATAGGACATGGGAGGAAAGAGAAAGAAATCTGAAAAGAGAATATAGTAGAAGAGTTCAGGTAATAATACTGGAAAGGCAGGTAAGCCTCGATTCTTTTTGGTGGCCTCCTCTGTGACTCTGTGGAGATTGAAGCTTATCCCAGAGTTATAGGAAGTCACAAAAACATTTTATCAACAGAGGTGTGTACTTAACACATCACTGAAACCCTTTGTATTGGCCTGATGTTAGATGATTGTTATGAGGAGGTCCTGAGAGGAAGAAAACCGTAGAAGCAAAGTTTTCCCCTAGTGGGCTATGGACCCTGACTTTCACTGTTACAAGGCCTGGCATCTGCAGTTCTCTTAATCCATATAAGAAAGTCTGGGGTTCTTCCTTCTCACTCCACCCATCGTGGTCTAGTTCTAAATGTTAATGATTAAATCAGTCCAACAAAGGGGGTTGTTGCTGACCAGGCCACCTTCTCAAGTGACTCAGAGGCTTGCTTGGAGGTGCTGCTGGCAGATGAAGCCTATTCACTATTTGGACGCAATCTGGGTTGACATTTACAGTGACCCAGGAAGGCAGGGGTGGCTGGCAGAGCAGCTTTCCAGAAAAAGGTTGCCATGAGAGTTCATAGTCGGGTGCTCAAACGGAAGCCACATAGGCTCTAGTCCAGCAGCAGACACTGCACAGGAGTCTCCAAATGTTGCTTTGAGAAGGCCAAGTGCACAGACTTTAGCAAGAGTCGTCACCTGGGAGCCTGATCTCTGCACTCTCACCTTCCTCAAACTCACCTCTCAGTTCACAATCCTCTATGTCTTAGATCCTCCAGCTCTTATCTGCTTTGAGATTCACCCTCCTCTGGGCTATCCCACTGATACTTCAGCCCAACCTCCTGAGGCCTCAGTAGAGCCACCAAGGGGAGACAGTAAAAAAACTTGCCTGGCTATGACAACTTGATAGCACTCCTAGCTGTTCTCATCTTGCTGTGTAACCTTAACTCCACAAAGGTTCTTTACTCTTGCTGGGAAGTATATTGGCTAAAAGGAATAGATATAATACACTGAAGAGGGCCACTATGCTTCAATTCTAGCATTTCTGTTTGGGGACCTATATCTGTGGTGGCTATTACGGAGTTAGTGTGAAAAGGGCTGGTTTGTGCTGAAAAGTTCTTGGAGGCCCACAGACACAGCCTTGCCTGGACACAGCTGCCCAGTACTGTAAAGGCTGAGTCACTGGGGCTGGCTCTGGGCACTAGGCCCTGCCCTCATGGATGAGGATCCTGGCCACACCTTGCTGGCGTTAAGTGTGGCCTTGTGGCATCTCACAACTTCTTCATGATCAAGCAAAGAATATCTCCTCTGTTATTAGGTAGCCTCGATCCTTCCACCATGAAGATGTCAAGGTTCAGAGGATAGAAGTGTGAGTTTTCTCAGCCTTGGTTGATGCCAGATGTTAAAATGCTGCTGCCTGGGGGCCAGAAGTATATAACAAAAGCAGAATAAGCTCCATACATTTATTCCAGGGAAGAATACCCTTAAGGGGTATCAGAGTCTGGATTCTCTACTCGAGCAAGACCAGCAATCTCAATCTCTCTCTCTCTCTCTCTCTGTCCCTCCCTCCCTCCCTCCCTCCCTCTCTCTCTCTCTCCCTCTCCATATGTGTGTATTAAACATTTTCATTGTATTAGTTTGATGGTATAATCACAATCATTCAGAATCTTTAGACATATGGAATGTGGCTTCCATTCATATTCTTCCTCTTGCCCTCCAAATGATAAAAGCAGACCTCTTGCAGGAGACTTGGAAGACTAGAGCTGATGGGTTTTGGTCCAGAGGAGAAATGGAGATGAGTCAGGAACCTAACGCTGTGGGTACCATGAACCCTGGCATGATGAGGAGACCCTGATGGAGACTCTGTGATGATGGAGACTCTTTTGTTTCAGATCACATTCAGCAAAGACCACCTGAAGGACTGCCTGCTTTCCTTGGGTTGTGATGTGATGGCAAGAGAACGGAGCAACTTTGAGACCTACTCCATGTCTTACGAGCATGTGTTGCAGCATGTGCAGCAGAGGCTGTCCCAGAAGGAGCAAGTATGTTGTCCCAGAGAGACAAGAATTGCCAGTTGGAATGGGTGCAGGCAGGAAAGTCCAGGAATCACTCAAAAGAGGAAACTAAACTGAGTGGGGACTTTTTCTTATGCAAGAATTAGGGTGAGACTCACCAAATTATTCTTCTCATGGGGTCCTTCTTTTGGGTTCTGGTATTCTTACCTGCAAAGGTGGTGCTCCAGCTTTGGAGGTGTCCAGTGGGGAATATAAAAGGTGACCAACCAAGGAATTGTGCCTCAGGGAAGATGCGGAATAGACATCCCCATCCTCAGCAAACACAAAGGGCTCTTGTACTGTTCCTGGTTGAGTGAGGAAGCCAGGATCCTAGAGGAAACACTCTTCTTCAAGGGGAAGAACATGCTTGGTCTCATTTATGAGACTTCCTTGGAATGAGGTGAAGTCCCACTGGTGAGATCCATGCATCACCCTGTCTTGATATGGATTTGCTATGACATGCAGAGTAGTCTTAGTTTATACCTTAGACTTCAAGGCTATCCAAAAGATCAAAGGAAGTATTAAAATATAAATTAATGAGTCTTAGATTCAGTCTTCTTTTTCTTCTTCCGATCACTGAGCCACTTGCATTAGTATAGATACTGTGAAATTGATGCTCTCCTCTTGCCATGTTGGACATCAGAAAGTCCACCGGAAAGAGCACAACCGTGGCTCCACCTGTATCAAGATGGGTGTCCATCCATACAAACAGAAGGTGCTGAAGGGCATTGTACCAAACTGGGCAACAGTGGGAAGACTAAATGTTTGATTTGATATGTTCCACTCTTCTCTTTAGGAGTTAGAAGCCATACAAAGAAGCCAAAGGACGCCTGAAGAAGATTCTAGTCAAGTAAGTCAGTTACTATTTGTGTTAGTTTCCCAGAATTGCTGGAACAAGTACCATAAACTTGTTGACTTAAATCAACAGATATTTATTCCTTCACAGTTTTGGATAGAAGTCTAGAATCAAGATCTCAGCAGAGTCGTGCTCTTTCTGAAGGGTTATAGGAGAGGACCTTTCTTTGTTGTGTCTTGCCTTCTAATGGTTGTCAGCAATCCTTGGCTTGTAGACACATCAATCTAATCCCTGCCACTGTCATATCACATATCACATGAAAGCTCTCTTCTATGTCCAGATTTCTCTCTTATAATGGAGTGGACCTGGGGGGAGGTATTGTATAACAATGAAAGATTTCTTTTACTTTTCAAAGACAAGAGTGAACTAGAGGAGAGGAGTGGGCAGGGAGAAAAGTGCAACAATGAATGAATGGAAACCCAATGTCTCTGTAAATTTTCATTAAAATTAATAATAAGAATTTTTTTAAAAAAGATATCCTGGAATAGTTCTTAGGGAGTTACACAGCTAACACAAAGATGGTACCTCTATAGAGGTAGCTAGAAATGGGAGGTCTTAGCGTTATTTGCTAGTACCACTTTCAGGGTGACCTATTGAAGGTCCATGGTGGAGACACACACAGAGGGATATGCTTTTGCTTTTTAGAAGCAATTCTCATTAATTATTATTTTTTTTTATTTTTTATTTTTATTTTCTTATTTTTGGGTGCGTGTACCGTCAAATCAGATCTGACTGGCACAGGAGGAGATTGTCCCTCCTTACCCGGCAGAGCATCTGGTGGATTCGAACAGTTCGCCTCTGGGATTGTAGTTGCAGCTCCTTGCCACTAGGCCACCAGAGCTCCCCTACAGTTCTCATTAGAGGGAAGTTGGTTTTATTAAAAATGTCTTTTTTATTCTCTTGTATATTTTTCTATTGAGCCCGGATAGAACAACACAAAACAAAACCCATGGTCACTGAATCTATTCTGACTCATATGAACCCCATAGGACTAACTAGAACTTGCCCACAGAGTTATCAAGACCATCATTAACAGAAGCTGGCTGTCTCATCTTTCTCCTGTGGAGCAGCTGGTGGGTTTGAATCACTGCCCTTTAGTCAGCAACCTAGTACATTAACCACTTCACCACCAGAGATCCTAAATTGGGAAAAATGCATTCCAGAAGAGAGAAGGATTTGAGCTAAGAAGTCAAGAGTGAAAGGTCCAAACTCACTATGAAGTCCAGAAGTAACGCTAGCTGAAAAGTGCACTTTGTTAAAGCAGGTTGAGGCTCAATTGGCATCAGCACAGAACAAAAGTAAGAGTAAGGTATTTATCCATTCAGTGGTGGCAAGTTGGGGTAGTCACAGCAGTTTCAAGGGCCAGGGGCCCTTTTCCACTATCTCAGCACTCTGTTTTATCTCCTGGGGTAGTCACCAAACCTTTCTTAGGGTAAACATTATTCAGATTGTTTACCATTTCCTGGAACACAGGGATGCATTTGCATAGTCAGAAGGTCAGAACAATGGAATCATTTTGGTTCCAATCTTACAAAGAGAAGGCCACATTGAAGATAAAGAACAAGACAAGTGAAGAATTTCTCCCACCTGAAAACTGCTCATGCAGGGGCTTTTCTGAAGTCACGCACTCAGCAACCATTTATTGAGCACCTACTATATGTCTACCACTGTTCTGGGACCTTTGAACCAACCTTAGTGTCTTCTATTCACTTCTGTGTGGTAAGATATTGACCCTCTTCTTGAGGCTCAGGGTGGAAGTGCAATTTCAGCACTGATTCATACACAACTGGTTTGTAGCAGCTCTCTGAAATTCCTAAACTCTTCTCCATTTAATAAAGATTTCTGCTTCTAGGTTACAGAGCTCAGTCATGATATGATCATGGAAATCACTGCTCTGAGGGCCCAGCTCACTGACTTGGAAGAGGAAAATCTGAACCTGAGAAAGCAGATTCAAAAAGAAGTCCGAGAAGAATATGAAGCATTAGTTCAGGCTTTGTTTGTGACATGTTTACACATAGAAGTGAGTGTCCCATGTCAGACATCTGGGCAGACCTGTGAGGAACCAGGGCTAACTGTGACTGTACACAGAGATCAATGACAGACTGTGCTTTGAGGTAACAAGAAGTTCTAGAGCCCTAAAATATTCCAGTTCTAACCTTTCACTGCAGAAAAGACAGGCATCAGTGGGTTGTCGTTATTTAATCCTGGCAGACACTGAGTGTTAGATAATTCCAATGTTTTTTATTTTTCACACTTGATTTCCACTGCTATCTGATTGCCCAGCACTGCTGTTCCAAGGCCCCAGAAGTTTGTAAACACAGTTTTATTTATCAAATGGAACTATTTAATAGCAGAGGGAGCTCTGGCAGCCATGGGAAAAAGCTGGGCTGTCAACCTGAAGGCCTGCAGTTTGAAGGCTCCTGAGTGATTTACTGCCTCTGAAAGCCCACTGGAGGGTCAGCTGTGAGTTATTTCCAATTTGACTGCACATAACAACATTTAATAGGAGACTGAGACATGTCGGACCAGATCAGACCCTAGTGTGGTTGGAAACAGCCACCTTCTGCAATCCCAGTGGCAATATGAATCAGCTTCTAGAGAGTTCCCCAGCTATCAAAATGCACACCAGCTTGTCTCTCGCCTCTGGTGTTACGGAGTTGAGGTCCATCAGTGAAGGCCGATCCTGGAATGCTCTCAGGTCTGTGGAAGTCATTCTCTCACATCGTCCTACACCTACAATAGGCCATCAGGATCCAGGTCCAGCTTCGCAGTAAGTGTGAGATTCAACGCAAGTGTACCACTGCTGACTCCAATACCTGCAAGCCAGTTGCTGTCAAGTCAGTTCCAACTCATGGCTTCTACAAATATGTCAGAGTACAACTATGTCTCATAGGGTTTTCTAGAATGGATCTTGTAGAAATAGAACACCAGGTCTATCTCCTGAGGTGTCTCCGGGTGGACTTGAATCTTTAACTTTTCAATGAGTAACTGACCATATCAATAGTTTACACCGCCCAGGGATCCCTAGTCTGCCACAGCCTCCCCTGCTATTCACCTTTCCTTACTATTGGGTACAATGCAGGGCAAGCCCCATTTAGGTCCTTATTTTTTCAGCTGTTCCTGAGGATTCCAGAGCAATTGCTAGGGTTGTTATGTTAACAAAGCCTTCTCCAATATTTTGCCTTGGCCTGGTCATCGCAGAGAGGACTAAAGATCTCTGTCTTACTTATGAAGGACCTCAATGTACAAAATTACACATAATAAAAGATCAAAACAAAACGAACTAGCCCTGGTGCTGTGGGAGGGGGCAAGGTGCCAGGGTAGGTGGAATTTACTGAAAATCTTTCAGATATAAGATTGATGGAAAAATTGTAATACTTAAGTTCTGCTTAACTTCTGCCAGATTCTAAAGTAAAAAAGTTAATTCTCAACTTCTCTCTGGAGAAAATAGTTTCACCAGATCCCTCAAAGCAGAAAATCCTGCTAGCACAAGGTCCCAAGAATTCAATAGGGGTCAGTGATGAGACAGCAGCCGGGCTCCCCACAGTGATTCCCCAGTAGCACTCAACCTTCCTGCACGCCTCTCTAAGGAAATGGTTAGAAGGTGAGGGGACACCACAGCCCTGATTCTCATCGCAAGGACATTGAGTCTCTGGATGCACATACCTCAGTACAACTCACTCAGGCCATTTACCCCTTGTTATCAGTCAGTAAGGGAGCTCTGGTGGCTTCTTGTTATGTGCCACTAATAGCTCGGAACCCTGCTCTATCCTGAGCCAATCTCACTATCTCCAATCCCAGATACTTTGTTAATTCATCTCATGTAGGGTCTTCCTCTCCGATGCTGTCCCTCCACTCTGCCAAGCATTATATCCCACTCCAAGGACTGGTCTCTCTTGGCAACATGCCCAAATCATGTGAGACAAAGCTTCAAAATCCTTGGCTCCAAGGAGCAACTTGATTTTATCCTCTCTAGGATGGACTTGTTTGTTCTCTTGACAGTTCATGATATGTTCAATACTCTTCTCCAGCACCACAACCCAAAAGCATTGATTCTTAGTGGTAAGGAATTGTGCTGCCAACACAAAGGTATGCAGTTCAAATCCTAGCTGCTCTAACGGAGAAAGATGAGTAATTTCTCATATGATTTACTACCTCTGAAAGCTCACTGGAGGGTCAGATGATCAGTTCTGACTCTGTGGTAAAGTACAACAACAATAACAATAGCAATTGGGAAAGAGCTGTTTTGGAATGAAATGGTTGTTGTTGTTGGCAACCCTATGCACAGTAGCTCCAAATGCTGCCCTGTCCTGAGCCAGTCTCACTAATTCTGACACACCAACTCCCATTGCCTTAGTTACTATATCAACCTGTCTCATCTGGGTTCTTCCTTTCCTGTGCTGTCCCTCCACCCTTCTGAGCATGATGCCCTTCTCCAAAGACCATTCTCTCCTGGCTATGTGCCAAAAGTATGTGAGACAGAGCTTCAAAATCCTAGCCTACAAGGAGAAACTTGGTTTCACCCTCTTCAAGACAGACCTATTTGTTTTCTTGGTGATCATGACAGTGTTGATTGTGGACCCGAGCAAGCTGTAATTTTTAACAACCTTAATCTTTTCTCCATCTATCTTGGTGCTGGCCATTGGCCCACTTGTAAGAATCTTTGTCTTGATGTTGAGCTTCAAACCATACTAAAGACTACAGTCCTTGACCTTTTGCAGCAAGTGCTTCAAGTCTTCTTCAGTTTCATCAAGCAAGGTTGTGTCATCTACATAATGTAGGTTGTTGATGAGTCTTCCTCCAACCTTGATGTCACACTCCTCCTCATAAAGTCCTGCTTCCCAAATGATCTGTCCTGCATACAGATTGCAAAGGTATGGGGACAAAATGCATCCCTGACACACTTCTTTCCTGATTTTGAACGATGCAATGTTTCACTGTTTTGTTCTGAGGACTGCTTCCAGGTCCAAGTATAGGAATGAGGTATTTGCTGGAGCCTAAATAGGAATGCAATCAACCTGATTCCTTTCTATACTTTATTTCCTTTAGAGTTCTTTGTTAGTAGTGTCATCAAGTGTGACGCATAGTGACCCTATGAACATTAAACCTGAAAACTGCCCTAACCTGTGCCATCTTAATCATTTCTGCCATATTAGAGCCCATTGCTTCTGTGTCTGTTTCAATCCAATTCATTGAAGATCTTCCCTTCCTTCGCTGATGCTCCACTTTTCCAAGTGTGATATTGTTCTCCAAGGACTGACTAACAGCATGTCTAAAGTATGTCAGATGAAGTTCTACCATCCTTCCCTCTAAAGAGCATCATGGCTGCATTCTCTCCAAGACACATTTGTTTGTTCTTTTGGCAGTCTGTGTGATAGTCAGTGATCTTTTCCAGCACCACAACCCAAATGAATCCATTTATCTATTGTCTTTATTCACAGTCCAACTCTCAGATGCATACCAACTGGAAAGGCCATTGCGAGGATCAGGTGCATCTTAGTTTTTAAATTGACATCCTTGCTGGGTCAATAACCTGACTGCAGAATTTCCCAATGTAACACGTCTTTTGATTTCCTGACTGTTGGTACCAAGCAAGGTTGGTTGTTGATTATGGATCTGAGTAAGAGGAAATCATTGACAATTTCTCTCTTTTCTTCACCTACTATGATGTTGCCTATTGGCCCCACGGTGAGGATTTTTGTTTTCTTGATATTGAGATGTAATCATAATGAAGGCTGTATTCCTTGATCTTTTGTAGCAAGCCCTTCAAGTCCTCCTCACTTTCAGCAAGCAAGGTTGTATCATCTGTACAATGCAGGTTGCTGATGTGGCTTATAGACAGTGTTTCATTGGTCACTTCTGCTCTGAGACAACTTGATTGAACAATACCTTAGGACAGACTTCTCAAGTTGTCTCCAGATTTGGAATTCCCAGGGAACTAATCTGTCAGATTCCCATCAGTGGCCTCCAACTAGTTTGCCTATTCAACCTGTCTTGGACAAGCTCGACATGCTTGTTTTAAGACATGCAGGAGTCCAAATGATGAAGGTCTGTGGATGAAAGACAACCCCCAAGAGGCCACTAATATGACTTCCATGTACTATATCAATAAACAATTGGAGACATAGCTGACTGATGCAAACGGTTAATAATCTTGACTGCTCACCAAAAGGTTGGTGGTTTGAGTCCATCCACGGGCACTATGAGGAGAAGGCCTGATGATCAGAGGCAAAAACAATCTGAGCACAGTTCTAATCTGACACATATTGGCTCATTATTGGTCAGTTACCATGGCAACTGGTAAGATAATTATCTGGTCAAATAATTGGTGGATATTTTAACATGAAATTAAGTTTGAAACAGAAAACTCCCTCTTCTTCAGTTGCCCTTCACCTCCCCCATACCCACTATACTTCATTAACTTGAGTTTGCAATTTGCAGGAAAAACTGGATGAAAACCAACTTAATCTGATCCAAAATGTATGTGAGCTCATCAGTGAGGTGAGAAGAGAAGGCATTGACAATATGAAGGATCTGAAGAAAAGATGGGGCTCTGCCAGGCCTGAGAAAGGAATGAAGGAGAGCCCAGACAAAGTAGGTGATCCTATTTACCAATAGGATAACAACATCACAGAGTAGCACTGGGTCTTACTGTTAATTTCCATTCCAGCCTGGTTCCCCTGAGAAAGCATTGCATCAGGCATTTATGCAGGGCACCACGGCTCTCTGTGTCATCTTTCGCAAGACATGTTTCTAATGCAAGGAATCAAGTCTTTTCTCCAGGAAAGTAAGTGTTAGGAGCAGACTTTTCTGAAATGAAGCCTTCTTAGCAGGAGCAGCTGCAGACCTTGGAGGAGGACAATCGCAGCCTGGCAGCCCTTGTGTGCAAAGCCAGGATCCTGGGCCGCTGGAGGCTGGCTGTGCAGCAGGCGCACTTCCGGGGCCAGCTGAGCAGGGCGCAGGAGGTGAGCGCTGCGGGAGGGAGGCTAGCTGCCAGGCTGGTGGCAGGTGCCAGGGGCCTGCTGAGGGAGCTGGCAGTTAGGGATTCTCCCTGGGAAGGCACAAGGCCAGAGCTTGGGGAAAGAGAAATAAGAGGCAGGACTAAATGGCAAGAGAGAACTGAGCAGAAGATTTGAGATAGTGTTATCAAAATACTGCACATCTTTGGGCTTTGCCCATGATTCACCTGGGCTAAATGAAGAATAAGACAATTAACAGAAAAACTGCTTTTAAGCAAAGTGAAACCAAAATACAGATTGATAGTTATTTGGAAGCCTTCCTTCTTACTGTTTCTAAAAGTCTTTATTTACTACTCTGATTTGTCTCACTTTAAATGAAACTCTTGGGAGTTGCACTCTGCTGGAAGTTTTAACAAACAGTAGATGATGAAGTGGTTTAGATACTACTTAAAACTCTCCTTGCTCTTGAGTCGGAACAAACTCACAGCTAACCCTCCATTGGATTTCCGAAGCTGCAAACCACACAGGAGGAGATTGCCCATCTTTTTCTGAGGAGCCGCTGGTAGACACCAAGCCCCAGAGAGGCAATGCGTTTGGGGTAGCCACACAACTCCCTGCAGCCTAGGTCCCCAGTGCTCCCAGATATTGTTTAGGAAACTAAGAGTGTGAAAAGGATACTGATTTTCTATCGTTCTACTGTGTTTGGGACATTTGCAGGAAGTTATTCAGAACAAAAAGGAATGTTTGAGGACCAAGCTAATGGCAGAACAAGAAGTGGTCTTGCTTCGGCAAGAGCTGCAGGCTCTCAGACAGGCCCTAGCCAGGGCACAGGCTGACAACATAAGCTTGTGGAGGCGGCATGAGAACCAGGTATCTGGGTGGTTGAGCAGCACTTCCTCTTTTATGAACATGCTCTTTGAAGCCAAAAGGGGCAACTTGAAGCAGCCACATGGCTGCCTGTAAAAGTCACCAGAGCTCAGGACAATCTGAGCAGATCTTACAGGCAAGTCAAAGATGGCTGGGTCCTCAACTTCTCTCCTTCTCCCCACACTCCCAAACAGGAAACCAAGGCCAGTGGCCATCTGGCTACTTACTTGGTTTATTGTTGTTGTTGTTGTTGTTGTTATATGCCATCGAGTCGTTTGCGACTCATAGCGACCCTATGTACAACAGCCCTAAACCCTGCTCTATCCTGTGCCAACCACATTGCCTCTGACACACCCATCCCGATTACCCCAGTCACTGAATCAATCCACCTCATAGAGGGTCTTCCCCTCCTGCACTGTCCCTCTACCCTACCAAGCATGATGTCCTTCTCCAAGGACCTGTCTCTCCTTACAACATGTCCAAAGTATGTTAGACGAAGCCCCAGAATCCTTGTCTCCAAGGAGTAGCCTGGTTTAACCCTCTCTAGGATGGATCTGTTTGTTTTCTTAGCAGTCCATGGAACATTCAATACTCTTCTCCAGCACCACAGCTCAAAGGCATCAATTCTCCTTCTATCCTCCCTAGTCATTGTCCAACTCTGATGCATAACAAGTGATTGCAAAGACTGTATCAGGCGCACCTTAGTCTCCAGAGAGACCCCATTGCTCTTGAGTACTTTAGAGAGGTCCCTAATAGCAGACTTTCCCATCGCAATACGTTTTTTGATTTCCTGGCTGCTGGTGCCCGGAGTGTTGACCGTGGAGCCAAGCAAACTGAAGCTGTGAACAATCTCAATCTCTTCACCATCCATCCTGATGCTACCGATTGGTCCAGTGGTGAGAATCTTTGTTTTCTTGACATTGAGCCTCAGTCCATTATTCCTACATAAGATCAGTTTTCTGCAGAGGTATCTTAGAGCTTGGGCTTCTGCTTTTCATGTCCTAAGCCCCAATTCACAGATAGCAGTCTTCCTTTGCAGGCTGTCAGCTCTCACAAGCAGGGAGGTTCTCCCTTCCTTGATGATCCACATTTAGCCCTAACTCTCAGAAGTTACTGCTGCTCCAGAGAGGCTGGAATCAACATAAAGGGTTCTTAGTCTAAATTCTTAAATTGTATGCTCATTTAGATGATAACATAATTATGATAAAAACAAAAGGGGGGAAATATGGGAAGCCAATACTAAGTATTTGTAATAAACTGAATGCTATTTAAAAACATTTACAACAATAAAAATAATCAAGGAAAAAATTCTTAAATTGTGCTAACCTAATGAAAATTATTAAAATGGAGAGATCTGGGATTTAAAGAAGGGAGCTCTGGTGGCGTAGTGGTAAGAACAGCACCGTCAACCCAAGGCAGGCAGATCGAAGTTACCAGCTGCACCATGGGAGGGGGGAAAATGGACAATCTATTCCCATGCAATTGACAGCCTCTGAAAAACCTGCTAAGGGTCAGCTGTGAGTCAGTTTCAACTCGATGGCACACAACAATAGCAACAGAGATAGGGAATGAACACATAAGTTTAAGTAACAGCCCAAGAAAGCAGAGCATGAAATAGAAGTTATTTATTTTATTCTTTTGGACCCTAATTCTTCCATTATTGTGCATCAGGGAAGGTATTAGATAAAGTACTTAGTTAACAGTCAAGTCACCATACAAAAGTCAGTAATCATGATATTACCATGATCAAGTATTGACCAAGTATTCATGGTGTAACTCAGAACAATTTCAGAACAGAACCAAATTATTACCACTCATTTCCCTGTTTATCGGACAAGTATCTGGCTTCCCCAAAGTACTGAAAAAAGTAAAAATAGAAGCAAGATTAGAACCATCTTTTCACACCCATTACATATGCTGCATCACTCTGTCTCTAAATAGTAAAAAATAATGTTATCACAAGATAAAGCAGAAAAATAGTGCCAGTGTTGTTGTGTGACATCAAGTTGGAACTAACCCACAGCTAACCTTCTAGTGGGTTTTCAGAGGTAGTAAACCACACAAGAGATTGCCTGTCTTTCTAGCTCAGAGCAGCTGAGGATTCGAGCCATGTGCCTTCAGGATGGCAGTGTAGCTCCTTACCTCTCACTAAGCACCAGTGCTCCCAATTGCAAGTGTAACTTACAATGAAAAGCAAAAACCCAAAGGGACTACTGTGGAATCAGTTCCAATTGACCCTGTTCTGGGCCACTGTTTCTTAGGTTTTCCAAGGTTGTAAATCTTTACCGAAGCAGATTGCTTCATCTTTCTCCCATGGAGAGACTGGTGAGTTCGAACTACTGGCTTCTGGTTAACAGCCCAACTGGGACTCTACTGCATGACCACGGCTCCTTTTGGTAGCTTGTGACAGATAGGACTATTTGATCAATAAGCCAGTCAACATACATGCTATCATCAAATCTTGGTGTTAAGAGACTAGATTATTTGGCCTGGTAGTCATGTGTTGAGGCATTTGTGTGTTTTTTTTTTGGTTTTGCCCTGGACAGTGTCTAAGGGTTTGTAAACATCAGATGGGGTAGAGACCCTGGTGGTCTTGCTGTTGTGAGCATAGGACCTTGGGCCCAAGAAGACACCACATAGTTCTACCCCAGGGCCCTAAAGGAGGGGATGACAATAGTGCTGAGAGGCCTCTTGTTTCCACCTACCAAGCAAGCCTCTGCCCTGTGTTTCCTTTGACCTTGCCCTACCACAGGATCAATTGCTGAAGGAGTTAGAGCACAAAGTGACCCAGGAAGCTCTCAACCAGCAGCAATTGGATTTAATGAGAACATCCAGCATAGAGAAGCTCTTAGGTGATGTGGAGCAAAAAGAACAGCAACTGCAGCTGCTTGCTGAAGAGGCTGAGAGGACTTCTAGACTGGGCCAGTTTGAACAGAAAAAAATCAAGAGAAAAATACGACAGGTAAAAGCCTCCTTGAGAAGCTGGAGCTACAGTAAGAGAATGAGGGTGCAGTGGCAGAAACCATTTCATTCTACAGGTTTTTGTTGTAGCCTTTTGCTTTTAAAATTAGTGCTCTCAACCTCTGTTCAGGGAGCTCTAGAGAGTAAGGAGTTGTACTGCCATCCCAAAGGTAAACAGTTCAAGTCCACCAGCTGTGCCGTGAGAAGATGGGCAATCTCCTCCCATGCAATTTACAACCTCTGAAAACTCATAGCTTAAGGGGTCAGCTATGACTTGGTTTTGACTCAGTAGCAATGAGTTTGAGCTGAGTCAACCTTTGTCACATCCAGGTACAGCAGGAAAAATGTAAAGTTTACTGACACAAGGGTAACTCACTGCTCATAGCAAGAGATGATGGCTCCCTCAGGGTTCAAAGTCTTGGCACATTCATAACTCATCTGAAAAACAGGTTCCCACCAAACTTTAATTGTTGATCTAGATGTTGTTGTTGATATGTGCCATCAAGTCACTTGTGACTCATGGCGACCCTATCCTGTGCCAATCTTACTGTCTCTGATATACCTACCCCCATTATCCTAGTCACTGAATCAATCCATCTCATTGAGAGTCTTCCTCTCTTGTGCTGTCCCTCCATCCTCCCAAGTATGACATCCCTCTCCAAGGACTGGTCCCTCCTTGCAACATGTCCAAAGTATGTCAGATGTAGCTTCAGAATCTTTGCCTCCAAGGAGCAGCCTGGCTTCACCCTCTCCAGGGAGAACGTGTTTGTTCTCTTAGCAGTCCATGGTATATTCAATACTCTTCCCCAGCACCACAGATCAAAGGCATCAATTCTACTTCAATCATCCCTAGTCATTGTCCAGCTTTCTGATTCATAGCACGTAATTGCAAAACCATGGCCTGTATCAGGGTCATTTTAGTCTCCAGATTGACATCATTGCCCTTCAATACTTTGGAGAGGTCTCTGACAGCAGACTTTCCCAATGCAATGCATCTTTTAATTTCCTGGCTGCTGGTACTAAGAGTGCTGATTGTAGAGCCAAGCTAACGGAAGCTGTTAACAACCTCAATCTCTTCACCATCTATCATGATGCTGCCAAGTGTTCCAGCGGTGAGAATCTTTGTTCTTTTGATGTTGAGCTTCAATCCATATTAAAGGCTGCAGTCCTTGACCTTCTGCAGCAAGCACTTAGGAACTCAGAAAATTCTGAGAAACAATCCAGGAAAGCACCAAGATTTGTTTTTGTTGCTGTTGTTAAGTGCTGTTGAGTTGATAATAGCAACCCTGCGACCAGTAGATCACAGAAGCCATTTACAAAAGCATTTTATTCAAGGTGTTTCTGGAATTTCAGAGACAAATGTAAGGAAAGATGGTTTGAAGGCACAATATTTTTGTTGTTAAACATACCCCACATATACATATAGATGCTTGAGTGTGGATTAATGCAAAGTCTTACAAAGGTCTTACAAAGGTTACCACAGAATGTAATTATAAAAAGGGAGGGGAGATACAGCACTTCAATCATAGATTGACTTAATTTATCAATTAATTTACTGAAGTTATTAGAAGAAATTGGAAAATTAAGTTGTTGTTTTGTTTTATTTAGCCAAGTTTTTTCAAGTGTTGCACAAAGAGGCAATTAGTAAGAATGCTCCACTAGGTAAATATGCTGCCTGTAAAAAGGATAAAAGTTAAATCAAAAACATGCTTGAATGCTCCACTAGGTAAATATGCTGCCTGTAAAAAGGATAAAAGTTAAATCAAAAACATGCTTGAATGCTCCACTAGGTAAATATGCTGCCTGTAAAAAGGATAAAAGTTAAATCAAAAACATGCTTGAGAAAATATTTTTTTTAAAAATGGAGAGCAAAAATAAGTAGCTATTATTAATGTTATGTGCTGGGTTTGGTGAAATTGAAAGCTTGGTTCAAATCCTCCAGTATTTTCATAGGGAAAAGATGAGACAAACTCATCTTGTGAATAATCTATAGCCTCAAAAATGCGAATCAATGGAAGTAGGTATGGTGTTCTGGTATAGCATATTTTTAACTGAAAAAGAAGGTGCTCATTCATTTCATGAAATGTAGACTAACATATGCCTGAATTTGAAAGGAAAATTTATCATCATACATTTACCTGACAAATTATGCCTTTTCTAAAACTTACGCATGAGGAGCTGTGATGGCTTAATGGTAAGGAGTTTTTATGCCAACCCAAAGGCAGATAGTTTGAATCCACTTGCTGCTGCTCCATGGGAGAAAATCCAGTGGAAGATCAGCTAGGAGCCTGAGCTCATTGTTACAAGAGTGTCCATCCTGCACACTCATGTTTATTGCTGCTTTGTTCACAATAGCAAAGAGTTGAAGACAACCCAAATGCCCATCAACAAAAGAATGGATAGAGAAGCTGTGGTATATTCATACAATGGAATATTATGCAGAACTAAAAAACAAAGAACTCATGAAATATTATACAAAATAGGTGATCATGGAGGACATTATGCTGAGTGAAATATCTCAGTCACAAAAAGACAAAGACTGCATAATGACATTGTTATAGAACAGGACTGATATGGGGGTTGGGAAGAAACTTAGAAAAGAAGGGATAAATAATGTACATGGCACTGAAACAGCAAGGGAGAGAACTGTATAAAAGGAATATATGATTAGGTATTATTGGCATGACAAGAGTCCAGAATAAGAGCTGCATAGTAAAGTGGTGGTGGTGGTAGGACTGTATAACAATGAAAGAAATTAAAAAAAAAACACAACTAACTGGGGGGGGGGGATGTGGAGAGTGGACAGGGAAGAAAATGTGAATAGAAATTTAAGTTCTTTATAAACTTTCATTAAAATAAAAAGAAATTTAAAAGAGTGTCAATCCACCTTGAGAGTTTTTCTTTCTCTGACTGTCCACCTTTCCAAGTAAGATGTCTTTTTCCAAGGGCTGGCCCTCTTGACAATATGTCTGAAGTATGTGAGATCAAATTTCACCATCCTTGCCTCTAAAGAAAACCCTAAGGGGTGCATTTCCTCCAAGAAAGACTTGTTCTTGTGGCAGTCCATGGGATATTTAGTACTCTTCTACAATATCACAATTCAAGAGGACCAATTCTTCTTGTCATCCTTATTCCAACATTCAGGTCCATAGCAAGTAATTGAAAAGACCATGGTTTGTATCAAACACACCTTAGTCTTTAAATTCACATCATTGCTCTTTAGCACTTTGGAGAGGTCCTTGACAGCAGATTTCTCCAATGTAACACACCTTTTGATTTCTTTACTGCTGGTACCATGGATAATGATTTTAGATCCAAGTAAAATGAAATTGTTGGCAACATCAAGCTTTTCTTTCTTATCATAATATTGCCTACTGATCCAGTGCTAAGAACTTAGTTTTCTTGAAGCTGATATGTAATCCATAGTGAAGATTATAGCCTTTGATCTTCTGCATTAAGTGTTTCAAGTCCTCTTTACTTTCATTAAGCAAGGGGTATCTTCTGCATAAAGCATGTTGTTGATGAATCTTCCTCTAAACCTGATGCCACATTCTTTTTCATATGGTCTAGTTCCTCAATTTATTTCCTCAGCATACATATTGAATAAGTGTGGAAAAGGATTCAACCCTGAATGCACTTCTTTTCTGATTTTTAAACCATGCAGTATTCTCTTGCTCTGTTTGGGCAATAGCTTCTTGGTCTATATATAAGTTTCACATAAGCATACTTAAGTGTTCTGGGATTCCCAATTTTCACAATGTTAGTAATAATTTATTATAATCCACACATTCAAATGTTTTCAATAGTCAATAAAACACAGGTAGACATCCTTCTGGTATTTTCTGCTTTCTGTCAAGATCCATGTGACATTAGCAATGACGTCCCTCATTCCACAGACTCTGCTGAATCCAGCTTGAATTTCTGTTCCAGACTTTTTGAATAATCTTCAGCAAGATTTTGCTTGCATATGATACTAATGACATTGTCTGATAATTGTCACATTCTGTTGGGTCACCTTTTTTTGTGAATGAGAATAAATATGAGTCTCTTCCAGTCAGTTGCCCAGGAAGCTATATTCCAAATTTCTTGGTATAGGCGAGTGAGAACACCTAGGACATCTCTTTGCTGAAACATGTCAACAGGTATCCTATCAATTCTTGGGGCCTTATTTTTTCCCAGTGCCTTCAATGCAGCTTGAAATTCTTCCTTTATTACCATTAGTTTTTGATCAAATGCTACTTTTTTCTCAGCCAGTTCTTTTTTGGTACAATGACTTTATATTCCTTTCATCTTCTTTTGATGTTTCCTGCATCATTCAAGATGTTGCCCATAGAACCCTTCAGTATTATAACTTGAGGCTTTAATCTTTTTTTTCCGTCAGTTTTTTTCAGCTTAAGAAATGCTGAGCATGTTCTTCTGTCTTGGTTTTCTAACTCCAGTTCTTTGCACATTTCATTATAATACTTTGTCTTCTTGAGCTTTGACATCTTCCGTTAGTCTCTCTTACTTCAGCATTTCTTCCTTTTATTTTTACCTATCTCCATTCTAGTGCAGTTTCAGAGTCTCTTCTGACAACCATTTTGGTCTTTTCTTTCTTTCCTGTCTTTGTGATGACCTTTTACTTTCTTCATAAATTATATCCTTGAAGCCATTCCACAATTCACCTGTCCTTTGGTCACTAGGGTTTAATGATTCAAATATATTCTTGAGATGATTTTAAAGTTTAGGTGTTGTAGACTTAAGGTTTTATTTTGGTTCTTGTGGACTTGTTTTGCAAGTAAGTAATTCGTGATCTGTTCCATGGACGTAGGCTTTCAGGGCTTATCAAAATAAGACTGCTGATCTTGAGTTTCTCCATCAGTTCTTTTCACAGATGTAGTCAGTTTCCTTCCTCACCATCAGGTGAGATCCATGTGTTTAGTCACTATTTATGTTTTTAAAAATGTTTATGTTTTTGAAAGTATTTGCAAGTAATAAATCTCTGTACAAAATTCTATCATTTGATCTCCAGCCTCATTTCTTTCAAGTCTGTCTTTTCCCACTAACGGTCCTTCTTTGTTTCCAACTTTTCCATTCCAGTCACCAATGATTATTAGTGCATCTCGATTACATATTTGATCCATTTCAGACAGTTGGTAAAAGTCCTCAATTTCCTCATCTTTGGCTTTAGTGGTTGGTGCATATAATTGAATAATAGTTGTACTGACTTGCCTTCTCTGTATGCATATGGATAGTATCCTGTCACTCACAATATTTTACTTGAGGATAAATCTTGAAATATTCATTTTTACTATGAATGAAACATCATTCTTTCTCAGATCATTCCCAGAATGATAGATCATATGACTATCTGATTCAAAGTAGCCAATATTAGTCCATCTCAGCTCACTAATGCCTTGAATGTTGACCTTTAGGCATTCCATGTCCTTTTTTACAACTTCTAATTTTCCGAGATTCATACTTCACAGGCCATGCGTTGTATGTTTTCCTCTTTCAAGATGGTATTTATTAGATTAGATGCTTAGTCATCATGGAACATTCTTTTCCAAGATGATTGCCCTCTAAAAGGTTTACAGAGGTCATTTGAATAGTACCTGAAAGCTCTCAACAGAGCTAAAATTCATTAAGAGGAAACACCTGGTTGGGCTGTGGTTGGTTACTCATGTAAGGTATCGTCTTGAGTCTTGTGATCTCTTCATTGGCTGCATGCTGGCCTTCTTGGTTTGAACCATTTCAAGGGAATAGACTTTGATTCAGCACATTACGTAAAGAGAAAAACTAAACAGGAAAGTCTGTGATTCAGAGTAAACCTAGTAGTAACTCAGTTAAAGTCCAAAAGAGTTAAAATTTTCTACCTATTAATTGAAATGTGGAGCTTTGGTGGCTTAGTGTTAAGAAACTGCACTGCAATCCCCAAGGCACAGGGTTTAACTCCACCAGCTGCACTGTGGGAAAAGAATGGGCAATCTCCTCCCTTGAGATTTACTGCCTCTGAAAACCCTCTAGAGGGTCCATACAACAACATTAATTGAAAAATCATCTTGATACAAAATCAGAAAGTATTATTATGTTAACAGAAAAGGAGTAACTCTCATCTATAGATTGCAGGGTGAAGAGTCAACCTCTCAACAAAAGAATTCAACTTGATAAGAAAGTCTCCCTCAAAATGGTACTTCTAAACTAAGAGGTCATTACAAACACAGAAGAGAAAGAAAACACCAAGACGGATTTCAGAAGAGAATAGGAAAATTTCATTAAAGTATCAAGAATCCCAAATAAAGAGAAGAGATGAACAGACAATTTCAAAGGGCAGCTTAAGAAGACAAAGCAAAGTACTTATATGGAATGTGTAAGAAGAGCTGGAGCTGGAGAATAAAAAGATAAGAACTTGCTCGGGAAAAGACCAAAACAGATGTCAGAAGAGACTGTGAATATTGCACTAGAGTGCCGAGAAGCCAAATCAGAGGGAAGAATTCAAGATATTAAAGAGCTGAACAGAAGATTTCAAAAGGCAGCACGGGAAGAGAAAGTATAATATTACAATGAAGTGTGCAAGGAGCTGGAGTAAGAAAATTCTTCGTGTAAGAAAAATATACATTTATTGGGTGACCCTGGAGGACATTACGCTGAGTGAAACAGCTCAGTCACAAAAGGACAAATATTTCATAGGGCCACTATTGTAAACCGAGACTGACATTGGTGTTGAGGGAAGACAGAGAAGGAGGGGAATGATGTATACTGCATTGAAACAGATGAGGTAGAAAACAGCTTAAAAGTGATATATGATTGGATATTATTGTCATGATAGGAGTCCAGAATGAAGGTTGCACAGTAGAGTGGACTTGGGAGGAGGGATTGCAAAACAGTGAAAGAGTTTTTCTTTTACTTTTAAAGGAGAACAGTGAATTGGAGGAGGCAGGGGGGAAAGGGCAAAAATGAATGGAAACTAAAAAAAAAAAAAGAAGAACTTGCTCACCATTTCTCAAGCTGAAAGAATTAAAAAATAAATTTTAAAAAATCAAGCCTTGAGTTGCAGTTCTTGAGAGATTCTATGGGAAAAATCTTGAATGGCTCAGAAAGCATCAAAAAAAGAAGATGAGAGAATACACAGAGTTATTGTACCATAAAGAATTGGCCAAAATTTACACCAAAATATTTTAGGGAGTAGCATATGATCAAGAGCCAATGGTGATAAGGGAAGACATGCAAGCTGCACTCAATGCAGCACTGACAAAAAATAAGGCCCAACGAATTGATGGGATATTAACTGACATGTTTCAATAAGATGCAGCCCTGGACATGCCCACCAGCTTTGCAAGCAAATTTGAAGGACAGATATTTGGCCAACTAACTGGAAGAGATACATATTTATTCCCATTCCCAAGAAAGGTGATGCAACAGAATGTGAAAGTGATCAAACAATGTCATTAATATCACATACAAGCAAAATACTTGTGAAGATTTTCCAAAAATGGCTAGAATAGTAAGTACATTGACAGAGAACTGCCAGAAATGCAACCTGGGTTTAAAAGAGGTGATGGCACCAGGGATATCAATGCTGTTATCAGATGGATCTTTGCTGAAAGCAGAGAATGTCAAAAGAATATCTGTTTGTGCTTACTGGCTATGCAAAAACCTTTGACTGTGTGGATCATAACAAACTATGGATAATACTGAGGAGACTGGGAATCCCAGAATACTTAATTGTGTTTTTAATAAACCTATACCTAGACCAATGAAGCTCTTATGGCCTAGTGGTATGAATCTGTCGGGCAATCCCAAAAGCATGCGGTTCAAATCCACCAGCTGCTCCGCAGGACAAGGATGGGCACTCTCCTCCTATGTGATTAACTGCCTCTGACAACCCAATGGAGGGTCAGCTATGGGTCAGTCCTGACTCTGCATACAACAGCAACATACCTAGCCCACGAAGCTGTTCAAACAGAACCAGGGAATGCTGCATGGTTTAAAATCAAGAAAGGCATTCATCAGGGCTGTATCCTTTCTCCATACCTGCTCAATCTTTATGCTGAACAAATAATTTGCGAAGCTGGACTTTATGAAGACGACTTTGGTATTAGGATCGGAGGAAGACTCCTTAACAGCCTGTGATATATAGATGATACAACCTTGCTTGCAGAAATTAAGGAGATCAAAGACTGCAACCTGCAATATGGATTATATCTCAACATCAAGAAAACAAAGATCCTCACTACCAGACCAGTAGGCAACATCATGATAGATGGAAAAGATGGAGGTTGTCAATGATTTCATCCTGCTTGGATCCACAATCAACACCAGTGGTACTAGCAGTCGAGAAATCCAAAGACATACTGCACTGGGGAAGTGTCAGGGACCTCTCCAAAGTACTGAAAAGCAATGATGTCAGTTTAAAGATTAAGGTTCGCCTGATTCAAGTCATGTCTTTTCAATTATCTGCTGTTTATCTGGACAATAAATAAGGATGACAGAAGAAAGATCGATGTCTTTGAACTGTGGTGTTGGAAAAGAGTGCTGAGCGTCCCATGGACTGCCAAAAGAGCAAAAAAGTATGTCTTGGAGAGGGTACATCCAAGAATGTTCCTTAGAGGCGAGGATGGTGAAGCTTCATCTTACACACTTTGAGTATGTCGTTAGGAGAAACTATTCCTTGGAAAAGGAATGATGATGCTTGGAAAGGTGGAGGGTCAGTGAAGGAGAGAAAGACCCTCAATGACATGGATTGGCAAAGTGGCTGCAGCTATAGGATCAAGCATGTCAGAGATGATAAGGATGGCACAGAATAGGACAGGATTCAGATCAGTTGTTCATTGGGTCACTATGAGTCATACTCAGCTCAACGGCACTTAAAAACAATAACAGGTTAAGAGGACAAAGAGCTCCAACCAATTATGGAGCTCTCTTTCAACTGTTGTTCTAAACTCAACGGCGTTTCTCCCTTTAAAAACATTATTAAAGAGATGTTATTTTTCATTATTTTCTTGCCTGTTGCATAATTTACGAGATCTGATAACCAAATTAATGTTTAAAAACACTTGAGAGGACAGCTTCTAGGAATATAAGAAATAACCCCCTTAAACGTTTGTCAGACAAGTCCAGGGTCTCATAGTGTGTACAAAAGCTTCTAGTAGAATCTATTTTGGCACTGTTAGAATTTAAAACACCTGGAGTGAAATTTTTAAGATCATGTGTATTCTTTTTTTATCATTTAAAAAAATTAGGTCACTATGAGTCGTCTACAACTCGATGACACTTAACAACAATACCACCAACATAGAGAGAGCTCTGTGGGCCTGGCAGATAGAAAGTTATGCTACCAAATCAATGGTGGGCGATTTTAATCTAAGGCACTCAGGGCTGATTTTAATTGTTTTTGGTCAAACCTTCTTCTAAGTGGTATTGCACTGGTCTGTCCATTTGCTGTAAAGAGGTAACTCGTGGTTGCTGTGATGCTAAACACTGTGACACTGATGTATCAAATGTGATAATGGTTACCCTTGGTGGAATGTGGTCTAGTGTGGATAGCATGCAAAGAAGTCAAACCTTTCCTCTGCTTAAAGCCTCCAGGTTCATCACTACTTCTCTGGTAAAATAAACATTACAGTTGTAACTTTTGTAAGTAAACTCTTGGCTATAATAAGGTACAAAGGAGAACCCAAAGGTAGCCACGTTTGCTCTTTGAGAAAGTTCTTCACTTTTATGGAACTCTAGCTTCTTAGAAGGTTGAGTTTAGCAAAACCCAAACTTCCACGGGTCCCACACTCGCCCTGAGGCTGTTCTGTGAATGGAGAGGATAAAAATGTGCACCCCAAAACATTTCTATATTTTTAAGCACTTTTTCTTACAGATGAGAAGCCAGCTTGCTCAGGAGCGCAGTATGAAACTGGATGCTTTCCAGCGTGTAGAAGAGCTAAAAAGCAAGCTTAATGACACTGAACAATCATCTGTCCAGATGAGCTCGCCAGGTGGTAAGGATCCTTCCTCTACAGCCACTCACCCCTCACCTAGAAACACCTCTGTTTCCAGGTCTGAACTAATAGAGTCTTATCTAACTAGTGGTTATTTATTTGGGTGTTCAATGTTTGCTGAATGAATCAGTCTTAAGTCTGATCTGCAGTCAGAACTTTCTACTTATTTCACTCTGGAGAACAGATATCATATACTGAAATATTTCCATATTAAAAGCTAACTCCAGGAGTATATTGGGGAACTTAACTGATTTTGAAGCATCTTAATATCTGGGACACAAATGTTCACATTTTTCAGATATTATTCATAAAGTACTTTATGATTCTGGACTGCTGGAGGCTTACAGAGACCTATGAAAAGGGTAGTTGAAATGGCCTTCCAGACAGTGCAGCAGCATGCAGCTCCAAAGACCAAGCCCCAGTCTGACTCTAAACAAACTTGCTCACCATGCAGGCTTCTGAGGGCTTGTCATGTAACAAAATAACATGAAGTCAGTTACTATAAACAGGGATTTATTGCCTACAATTTTAGAGGTTGAGAGTCCCACATTAGGGTGTCAGCTACGTTAATTCCTTCTGAAGTTCTGAGAAATAATCTAGTAGCTCTAAAACATCCTTTATTTGCCTCTACAGTGTCACATGGTCCTTCCTGGTTGTCTCTATGTATTGTCTTTTGTAAAAAATGCCAAGGGCCATGTGAGGAGTCTTATCTGACCATTACCAACTTCACAAAGGGAAACTGTCCCCATCAACAGCATCAACAACACAAAACCAATTCCCATGAGGTCAAACATGCTCCCATACCTTTTTTACTCATCCCAACATCAATTTTACTGCTTTACTGGATCCATCATCTCATGTGATAGTTCACAGACCACACAGAATTATGTTGGGGAAGTCAAAAGGTTATAATCCTTGTTAGTAATAAAACACAGGACAGCTTCTAAAACGTACTCACAGGCACCTCAGCCTTGAACCTCATGGCTTTAGACCCATGTTATAAAATTCTCAGTCCTGCCAATATTGGCTTCCCACTCCCCATCCCACCACCATCCCCCTATTGTCCAACAAACTTGTGCAAAGGCTCTTAAGCTTATCTCTGGTTCTGTCCGTGGTGAGTAGCAGACAGCGCAGTCTCATGTCATGTATCTTTGGTCCTCTGCTTCAGCTATGGCTGCTGCTGTAGGTATAATGCAGCAAGAATTTCTGGGCCTGGATGATGTGTTATATTCTCTTGCTTCTTCATCTTCACAAGCGGTAGGGAAGGTTCTCTTTCTGCTGTTGAATGAACTTAATTTAATGATGAGGTTAGCCAATTCACTTCTGGATTGGTGGGACTAGCCAATGCCCTTGTGGATAGACTAACACACCCTCTTCACATGTTCCTGCCCATTCATGTGGTAGAGTAAAATTCAGTGGCGAGAAAAGCCATCTTGAATAATAAACTTTACCTCTTCCTTTATATAAGGACACCAGTCATGCAGGATTATGCTTTACTCTACTCCAATATGATCCTCCCTGGTATCTGTGCCCACAAGATCAATTGTCAAAACTGAACCTGTCTTAGAAAATGGTATTATCATCTATCAAGTTACTTCAGCCAGAAATCTAGAGCTACTTCTTGCTTTGCAAATCAAATTAATTACAAAGTCCTAGTAGTTTGGACACTTCATGATTACCGGCTGTAATTTAACATTTTTTTCCATTTTAGGACATGTATCTCGGGCTCTTTACTCCCTAAGTTCTACCTCCACATCATCCAGATACTCCCAGCAACACTTTTTAAAGACTAATCTTAGAGACAATAAAATAAGAAGAGGAATTCAAAGGCCAAAGACTGTAAGTGATTAATAATATGTATGAAACAATGAACACTTAGAAACAATTAAGGACTTAGAAAAGGTAACTGTTACATAATGGTTCTAAAATAAGTGCTTTGGGTATGGATAACAAAATTCTGATGCTGAAATGTGCCCAATGCACCTATTCAATTATAAGTCAATAATATGAGTGTAAAAGTACCACATCCTTGCTGTATTCTCTCTCTGAACTTCTTTTTGTTTTTTCTTTCCCCCCTAATAGTCTACAATAATTAGTTAACTAGCAGTATCAGATCTACTAACTGTATTCCCTAGAAATCATTTCAGAAGTAATTTTAAAACACATGAAGAATCAACCCTCTATGGAAATTTTAAGAATGATTTGATTGAAAGTGCACCTGATTCTAGCCACCGTCTTTTCAATTACTTGTTAAGCTTCTGAGAACTGCACTGCAAATAAAAATGAAAGAATAATTCATGAATAATTCAAGAATAATTGTGGTGTTGAAGAGTACTGAATATCCCATAGACTGGCAAAAGAACAAATAACTATGTCTTGGAGAAAGTGCAGCCAGAGTGCTCCTTGGAATCAAGGATGGCAAATCTTTGTCTGCTTCCTTAGAAAGGGATATTATGCCTTGAAAGGTGGAAGGTTAGAAAAAGAGAGGAAAACCCCCCAATGAGATGTATGGGCTAGGCATGGTGACTGCAGCAATGAGCTCAAGTGTATTAGAGATGATGAGAATGGCACAGGACAGGCCAGAATTCAAATATGTTGTTCAGAGGGTCATTATGAGCTGTATTCAACTCGAAGGCACCAAACAGTAGCATATGCCAGTTTAGGGTTCTGCATTAGCCTTTTCCAAAAGGAAACAAAGTTCACTCTACACATATGGCTCAACAGGGCTTTCAGGATTCAATCACCATGTTAGCCCCCAAGCTCCATGTATAATGAACATTCCAAGCAATGAGAAAGAAGAGCAACAGAAGTTAGTATCACAAGTCTTGTGTTAGAGAAGGCTACTAAGTATAGCTAAGTGCATTAATTTACTGAATTACTGAGATTTAAAAGGCTAACAGTCTAAGGCTACTGTGTTTGCCATGATTTTATTAAATTAATGAAGAATAAATAAGTATCTAGGGGCAGGGGAAGAAAAAAAGGGGGGGGAGAAGTGTTTATTGGACAATATAAAATATACAATATAAAAATGTGAAGCAAAAATGTCCTAGGATCAGGAAGGAACAATGCTAGTTGTAGCTGCTTCAAATCTAAGGTCCAGTATAATGCATAATACACTGGGTTGGCAACTGAAAGGTTGGTAGTTCAAATCCACCAGCACCTTTGCAGGAAAAGGATGGACAGTTTCTTCCCATAAATATTTAAAGCCTCAGAAAGCCTAGAGAGAGGGTCACTAGGATTCAAAACCAACTTATGGTAGTGGAAATACTATTGAATACTATGGTAGTGGATTAATACTATTGAAGATGAATTTATACATGACTGGAATGGAAGAATACACAATTAATTATTTCCTTAAATTAAAAAATGTAAAAGAAAAAAGCACAGCCAAAATGCTCAATAGAGACAAGGATGGGGAACCTTCACCTCACTTATGCTAGGACATATTATTCCTTGGAAAGGGACATTATGTTTGGAAAGGTGGAGGGATGGTGAAAGAAATTAAGACCTCCAATAAGATGTATTGACAGTGACAGTAGCAGGAGCTCAAATGTGTCAGAGAGGATGACGAGGACACAGGATTCGACAAGGTTCAAGTTTGTTGTTCATAGTCAGTGAGTCATACTTGACTTGATGGCACTTAACAAAATACATCATGGCATCTTAAAAAAATTGTTACTGTTCATTCCTTAGCTGGAAGTGACACTTGATTACTTTCTTCCTGACCATTTCCTTTATGGCTGTGAAAAAAATATGTACATGAAAACATGCTAAATGGCTGGACCCACATGCAACCAATAAATAACCTTTGCTTTACTAGTAATGACTTTTCATGATGCTATAGTAAGGATTGTTGACCATTTTCTTTAAAAACACCAATATCTACTCAACATTTTTATTACAGGTACCTACAAAACACACAAGCAGAATCAAAGAAGTTTTCCTACCCAATGTGGTAGAAAATATCCAACTTGCCGGTTTTCAAGTTCAAACTGCACCAGCTAGAGTCCCATTCAGACCTGATTGGTAACTATAGCTCCCTTTTCCAAGTTCTATTTCTGTAAACATTTTAATAAATAAAAATTACTCCTAACATCATTAAAACTTTCATCTAGTCTTTCTTGAAAAGGTATGGAGAGACAGGACACATCCCTGACGTACACCCTTCCCAATTCTGAACCATGCAGTGTTGCCTCTTGGTCCAAGTATAGGTTTTGCATTAGCACGATTAAATGTTCTGGGATTCCCATTCTTCTCAAGAGTCAGCCACAGTTTGTTATAATCCATGCAGTCAAATGCCTTTGCATAATCAATGAAATACAGATAGACATTCTTCTGGTATTCTCTGCTTTCAGCCAAGATCCATCTAACATCAGCTACAATATCCCTAGTACCACGACCCCTTCTAAACCCAGCCTG